TGCTACATTTTAAAGGTAATTTGACAGCTTTTTCAATATTTACTATGATATTCTTTTATATCAGTCACATTTTATACTATAATTTTAAGGTTACTTTATACTGTCACAAAAGACTGAATTATCCAACAGAGATTCATGAAAAACACGTTATAACCCACATTACTTTTTACTAATAATTAGCAAAATATACAAGAAAGAAGCAACAGCCACCAGTGTGGCATCTGTATCTGTACCAGCCAACACAGCTTCTTAAAAGTCCCCTTTTGCACACTGAAACACATTTTGGCATCAGAATGATGATGTTCCCTATGTGCATGGTATAAGTTACCCTAGGGAGGAACAGATCCTGCTTAGTATTGTGGTGTATCAGTTTCCATACCTCACTAGTAACATAGCTAAAGAACCTCTATGAATAATGTACATTCTGACATACAAGTGAGGCTCATAAGTTACAAGCTTGTTTAGACTAAATCTAGAAAGACCAAATAAATCCTGCTAAAATCATGGACACAGCAGACCATGATAGCCCTTCTGTTATCTTCTGCTACTAAATCCATGAGAAGACAGTCTGGTACAAGTGGAATGGGTATTTCCAATGAGGTAGGGGAAAAGATAATTGTTCTATTGCAATGAACACAAACTATAGCATTTGGTGATAATTATCACAGTTTTCTCTATATTATTGGTTATATCCTCTCCTACATCCTTGTTTTTCTCTTATATGCTTTGATATGCTTTCATAGATTAGAGACTATGCTTAATCTCTTATTATTGGTTCAAGAATCAGAACTTTTAGTAAAACCATTTTACTACAATTTGAGTCATTATTTTCTGTATGGATACAATTACTAACAAATGTTTATTCAGTGACTGTTAAATGACAGAGTATATGAGTTTCTGTAAATATATTAATGAACAAGGCAAACATTTTAAATTTGCTAAAGATTGTTTTATAGTAAACGATGGTCTACTTTGGTGAATTTTCCACGTGCACTTGAAAATAATGTGTATTGCGTTCCTCTTTAGTGGGGTGTTCTATAAATTTCACTTAGGCTGATTTGACTGTAGTGTTGTTCAGGTCATCTATATCCTTACTGACTTTCTTCCCACTTATTCTATCAATTAATTGGAGAAGGGTATTGAAATCCTCAACCAAAATTATAGATTTATTTATTTCTAATTTTAATTCTCTCATATTAGGCTTTATAAATTTAAAATAATTTCTATTAGGTACATACACATTAAGGATTGTTATATATTCTTGAAGAATTGACCTCTTTGTCACTATGTAATATCCTCTTTATTCCTGATGATATTTCGTATTTGAAGTCTACTTTGTTTGATATTAATATAGTTGCTCCAAATTTCTTTTGTTAAATGTTGTCATGGTATATCTTTTTTCATACTTTCTTTTTTAACTTATCTTCGCCTCTGTTTTCAAAATGGTTTTTGCTGACAACTTCCCAGAATTGGCCAAACTGTGAAATTGGAGGGCACAGTCCTCCACAAGACAGCCCTCACTTCTGGTACCAACTGCAAGGTCACAGGGTTCCCAAAACCTCCCTCAAGTTTAATAATTTACTAGAAGATTCATAGAACTCACTGAAAGTTATTTTGCTTGCAGTTACACTTTACTGCAAGGAAACATACAGATCAAAATCAGCCAAAAGAAGAGATGCATCCAGCAGAGACCAGAGGGTTCTAAATGCAGACCTTCCATCGCCTCCCCTATGAAGTCAGCGTGCGTTACCCTCCTGGCATCAATGTGTAACAGTACCCATAGAGTTTTGTCAACCAAGGAAGCTCACCCAAACTTCACTGTCCAGAGTTTTTACAGGTGCTTCATTACATAGACCTGATTGACAAGGTGATTGACAAGGTGTCTAGGTCAACTGGTATTGAATTACCCAAAGCCCCCACCCTAAACCACTGGCTGAACTTTCTGCTGTGGCCAGCTCCCACCCTAAACAAAGACCCTCTTGTTGGGTATGACAGAGATTACCTCTCAGAAGCTGAGGGAAAGGCCAAAGAGCAAGGCCAAATTCTTTACTACACAACGTCACATAGTTGGGTCTTGCCTTTATCAAATCCAACATTCTCTGTATTTTAACTGCTGTATTTAGACCAGTCAAATTTATTGTGGTTATTGATATGGTAAGATTGGAATCTACAAACTTGCTATGTCTTTTCTTTTGTTTCATCTGTTCTTTAATCTCTTTTTCTGCTGCCTTTCTTGGGTAAATTGAGCTTTTCTATTATTCAATTTAATCTCCTCTATTAATATTTATACCTCTATTTAAAAATTTTAGTTAGGTATGTCAAGATTTCAATACGTATTTTTAATTAACCAGAGTCTACCTGTAAATAATATTGTACTGCTTTATGCATAGTATAAGAATCATACAGCAGTATATTCCCAATTCTTCCTTCCCAGCATTGTGCTATTTTTATAATGGATCTGGCTTTACATATGCTAAAGTCGTATGAGTCACTCATTATTTTTTATTTATCCTTTCAGTTACCTTCCTGAGCAATTAGAAATAGGAAAAAAATTAATTTGTTTACTACATTCATTTCATTTACAGTACTATCATTTTTTTGTATACATCTAAGTTTCTTCCTCGTAATATATTTCACTTTCTGAAGAATTCTTTTAACATTTCTTATAGAACTGATCTGCTGGTATTAAATTATCACAATTTTTGTTTGTCTGAGAAAGTAATTCTACTTTATTTTGGAGATAAAATTTTGCTGAGTATAGAATACTGCACTGACTTTTTTTAGTACTTTAAAGATCTCACTCCATTGTCTTCCAACTTAGAAGATTTCAAAAGAGAAGTTTGTTGTAATTCTCATCTGTGTTCCTCCTCATGTAATGTATCTTTTTTCTCTGGCTGCCTCAAGATATTCCCTGTGTTCTTTGTTTCCAGGTGTGATGTCTTTTCTTTTATCTTCTATTTATTATCTTCTGCCTTTTAATTTAATTTAATTTCATCTTATTTTATTACGCTAGTTATCCTGTGTGGTATTCCTTTAGTCTGTGGTTTGGCTTTATTCTTAATCTTGGAAAATTCTTAACCAATAATTCTTCAAATATTTCCTCTGTCCCCTTCTCTTATAACATTCTGAAATTCTATCTACATGTATTTTATATCATTTGATATTTTTCAGAGCTCTTAGATGCTCTGTTGTTGTTACTGTTTTCCCTATTCTTCTTTCTCTTTGTATTTCAGTTTGAGTCATTTCTATGCACTTGTCTTCTAGTCACTGATTCCTTCCTCACCTGTGTTGAGTCTATTGACGAGATCTTCAAAGGCATTCTTCATCACTGTTACTATCTTTCCCATTTCTACCATTTCCATTTGATTTTTTCCTATATTTTCTATCTCTGTACTGATCTTGCTTATTGTCAACCTTCTCCATTTGAGACTTTACCATATTAATCATAGTGAGTCATAGTTATTTTAGATACCTTTCCAAATAGTTCCAATATCTTTCATATCTGAATCTAGTTTCAATGATTGCTTTGACTCTTGAATTGCATTGTTTCCTTATTGCCATTTTGTGTGTTTCATATTTTTTTTATTGATAGCTAAACATCTGCGTAGGACAGTAAAGACTGAGACAAGAATACTTTGCTGGGAAGTGGGCTCACCTTTATTTCAGATATGTGTTTACTGCAGGGGTTTGAGTTAATCTACTAAGGAGGTAGGCTGGCTTTGCAGATTGTTCCGCATAGGTTTACACTGAGCACATCACAGATGTCAGATTTCACTTAGCAACACCTTGTGTTTAGGATGGTGACTTCTTTTTGTTTTGTTTTGTTTTCGTTTGTTTGTTTTTTAAATATATGCTCCCTACTCAGCTTTAATCTATCCTTTGTACTGTACCTCAGGGAGGGCCTGTTTCATCCAAGTCACTTGCTACTTGATGTTAGCCTTGCAGCGGGGAATGGGAGAGCATTCTGTGTGATTTTAATAAAACCTCAGGCAGATATCATGTCCCATGGGTTTTGAGGATTAATTTTCTCAGTGCTTCTTTCCTCCATTGGGCTAGAAGATATTTTTTATCTATTTTCCAGTGATGGTGAGTTTTTCCCCTATTCCTTTTATCTAGTTGCAACAGATTTTCTCCAGTGCTTATAGAACAACAGTATTTTTTTATGTCTCCCTTCATAGATTAAGAATTACGTTCCTTAGAGGTAATACAGATGGAAGTGTCCCAGTGGAGTTCTGTCTCCTTCTTACAGCTGATCCCATCTCTCAGGTTTTCACCATAAGAGAAACTTTCTCAGGACACTTCCCTCTTTTGTGTGTGGCTGTGATCACCTGATGGATTTTGTGCAGCAAGAGCCTAAAAGAGAGTGTGGACAATTCTTTTTTTGCAGCCATCTTTCCAGTGCATGTTTGACTGTTTTCCATCAATTAGACCATCATCCTAGCTGAACTCTGCTTACTACTGTCTAGCTGCATCTTGCCCAGGTAAACAAGAATTTATGCTTCACCTCTCCCTGATGGTGCTTATCTCTTTTTATATATATTTTTCTTCTTCTCCCAAAAGCCCCCCATTACATAGTTGTATATTCTAGTTGTAGGTCCTTCTAGTGGGATGCGACCTCAGCATGGCTTGGTGAGCAGTGCTAGCTCCGTGCCCAGGATCTGAACCGGCAAAACCTCAGGTCACCAAAGCAGCACGTGCAAACCTAACCGCTCAGCAATGGGGCCGGCCCTTCTCTTTATATTTTGAACCAGTTGGTTGCTTTGTGATTTCAACACTCATGGATTCAAGAAAAGTCATGAATTTGATGTTTATCAGGTTAGTTTTTGTTGTGTGCTTGGGAATAAGGCCCTTTCCAACCCTCAACATCTCTAAATGGAAACCAGAAGTCTCATATCTATTATTTTTAATTGACACATCAAACTCTATAACAAAAAGGTTATAAAACAGTACACACCAATAGGCTTTATTATTATAAGAACATTGTTTACTTGTTTGTTTGTTAAGTCAGTCAGCAACCAAATATTTGTTAAGTGCCTCTTCTGAACCAAGTTTGTCCTCAACAACTTGCTAGGCCATGTAAATAATCTCCTGTAAGTCTGGAATGATGTGTATGAAAATATTTTAAGAGCTATAACAAAGGAAGGAAAATAAGAACTTCAGCATTATTTCTATTATTGAAATATGGGCTTATTTGTCCAAAATGGTTCATTTGACTCAAATCCATGTATGAAAAACAAAGTTGTGGCAATTAAGTGTGAATTAAGTTTTACATATTCATTTATTGTGAAGTGTAAAGAAGCAAAGACTGAGTTCTTAATCTAAACGATGCTTTGAGGAAAGTAACAACGAGAGCTTCGAGCTAATTTGAGAATTGTTAAAAAAAATAGTTTACATTGCCTGTAAATAGATTTGGATTACAAAACAAAAATTGCTCAAAGTTATTTCCTGAATGAATTTTTTTCCAATTTCAATCATCAAAGACCTTTGATCTCTTATTCCCATCATCACTGGACAAAGCTTAAACATCCAGTGAGTCAGGACGTACAGTCAAATGTCACAGAAGAATGTTGTGTAGTAAATTCTGGAAGAAAAAAAGTGGAGAGAAAAATACAAAGTCATCAGCCATATTTAATCCGGAGAAATTACCTGAGTAAATTGGAACTATCTACCCAAAACATCACACATATATCTGTATTTTGTCTTAAAGTTCAGTGGAAAGCAAAATGCTTTCCAAAATCTGCTAGAACACTTCAAAAAAGTGAAATTTTATCAAAAGTAGACTACATCCTGATAAAATGCAGACATGAGTAATTCTACCATGCTATTTTGTCCTAAGTAAATTTCTAACTTTATTGCCTAAAGGTGACAAAATATTCTCTACTTTGCAAGCAAAACCAGGTCTAGACTCAGCCTATAATCAACTGTCATTTGGTCAAACAAAGAACAGAATGTGGCTTTATGTCTGAGCAATGTATTTAATTTTGACAGTCTGACTTCTTCGGGCTTCAGTAATCAACAACTCAGCACATAAACACACAGCCTGCAGCCTTGCATTGATTGTCAGCACAATTAATTGCCAAGAAAACTGCGGCTTTATTAAGTGTATGGCACTAACAATAAAAACATCACTATTTTTAGCACAGAGCAGGGCAAGATATCTATACAAATAAAATATAACAATAATAAACAAAAAGCCAGTCAGTAGTCCCACAGAAGAACATCAATGAATTTGTTTTGATGTCAAGTCACAACAGAATACTCAAGTGTCCTTGGACATAAGACATTGCAACCTCCACTAAAAGATAAGAGCCTTTTGTGCCGTGTGAAAAGTGGATGTCAACTGGTCTCTTCAGAATTATTTTTTATAGCTTCAAATATCTGTTGTCCATATGCCCAACTACAGAAATGCTGCCTGGGCAGGAGAGAGAAGACAAACATCACAGGGTCTAGTTATAGTCAGCATTGAAGAATATCCTAGAATTTAATCAGTGATAGTCTTTTAAAAGTAGATACATCCTCGGGAATAGAAATGGCCTATTGGTAGCATTGAAGAAATTTTCATCTGGTAATAAAGAACGAGTAATGTATGCTACAACTTTAGAGTTTTGAAATAAAAAGAGAGTAGTTCATTTTTTATATCCTTTCATTTATGTAGATATTCATTATACAAGTTTTTAGTATAGAGTTGCATAAATCTTAGAGAGGCTAACATATTGGAGAAAAGAAAGGAAGAGGAGGAAGAGTTTAGAGAACAACATGTATTGAGCATTGTATGAAACATTTGGGGACCAATGGTTGCCTTCACACAATATTGGTTTGTTTTATCACACAGAAATATGGTCAAAAAAGCCAATACAATGAAGCATGTCTGCACTAGGAAGCTTTTAAAAATTATACCTTCAGAGCACTAAATTAGAAGAAAAATAGACTTAGTTTTATTAACACGTGTATTTTTATCATCATTTTTAGACAGGAAGTATAAGATTTATAGAAATAATATGTGCAAGCCCGTTGATCTAGGCAGCAATGATGCTGAGAAGCAAACCACATTCTGCTGTCCTGGGTCCAATATACCATAGTACCTCATGTAAAATACAGGGTGAGATGGATTGCTTAAGACCACTTAATTGTGAAGAATATTAATTGAGTTGAAATATAAGTAGGTATTTCCTTCATCACATATGTATCATATACTTTGCTAAGTGCATTACGTACATTATATACATTAATGATCTTCTGGTTCACTCAACAGAAGCAATTTCAAATATCATTGCAAAACAAACCCTTAATCTGATGTGAGAAATCTGAGACTCAGTGAGGTCAATATGGCCTGTCCAGGTCCACTTGCTGGTTGGTGACAGAAGAAGAATAGAACTATCCTTATCCTTCTTTCCTTAAGCTGTATAGTATACAACAGGCCACTGCTGAACAAGTAACTATTGGACTTGATTCCCTTACACACTGTAATGATAAAGGTATTTTAGAGAGAGAAAAATACAGAATTTCTAAAATCTAGCTCTAAATTTAGGTTCAAAATTTTAAAAATTGCTTCAATTTGTCATGTCACAATAAGACAAAATTCCTTAAGTATAGAGAACCACATCTTACTCATCTTTGTAGTTTCAGCACATGAAACATTTGATTTCTAGTAACCTAGATCATTCATTCATATTCGTCCTTTAAAACTGAAAAATTTTCAATCTCTCATCTCAAAATAAATCCTCTGGATGAAGGGTTTCCTTTATCATTCTGCTTGTGGTGGAGGTGGAGGTGGTGAGAAGCAGCAGCAGACAGTTATAGCTTCTGTGATGAAAGGTTTACAACTGATTTTTGGGAGTCTTCAGCTGCTCTCAGTCATCTACAAAATAAATAAAGAAAGCAAACAAATACAATAAAATGTACCTTCAACAAAAAGATGAAAAAAAGTTGAGACAAAATACAGGTGCAAGTGCACACACACACACAGACATTACCTCACATTGAAAACATAATTCATTAAGTCATCTGCAGTCTGAGCACCTTATCTAGTTCCCTACTTTGGACAACAGCAAACTCCTGTGACAAAAGTGAGAACAGAGTAGGTACAGATAGAGCTAAATTCTGAATATATTCATATTTTTTCCCTGAAACACTATGTCTAAATCGAGGTAAAGACTGTGTGAGATGTGTCTTAAAATGTTGAGCCACTAGAAAATTTTAACACAAATCCCTTTTCTGATTGAACATCAGGAAAATGTTAATAGATGAGAAACTTAATTTCCAAGCATTTTCCATTCAGTTAGCAAATGACTACAATTGAGGGTCCACTATTTTTTAGGCGCTGGATTAGGTGGAAGGGTAACAAATAAGGCAAGGGGCATGCCCCCAAGGAATTTAAACCTTCTGACTAGAAACACTTCTAATTTGGGCTAAATTTGAGTACTAGATTGGCCTGTTGCCTTGTTAATGTGGTGTATCAGGTTGATAAATTTGTGGGTGTTGAACCATCCTTGCATCCCTGGAATAAGACCCACTTGATCATGATGTATGATCCTTTTAACTTATTCTTGTATTTGATTGGCTAGTATTTTGTTGAGGATTTTTTGCCTCAATGATCATCAGTGATATTTCCCATAAATGTCTTTTTTTGTGCTGTCCTTGTCTGGTTTTGGTATTAGGATAATGTTGGCTTCATAGAATGAGTTAGGAAGTCTCCTCGCCTCTTCAATCTTTTGGAAGCGTTTGAGAAGGATAGGTATTAAGTCTTCTTTAAATGTTTGGTAGAATTCACCAGGGAAACCATCTGGTCCTGGACTTTTACTCTTTAGTAGGTTTTTGCTTGCTGTTTCGATCTCCTTACTGGTATTTGGTCTATCCAAATTCTCTACTTCTTGGTCCAGTTTGGAAGGTTGTATGTTTCTAAGAACTTATCCATTTCTTCTAGATTATCCAATTTGTTGGCATATAGCTTTTCATAGTATTCTCTTATTGTGTTTTGCATCTCTGTGGTGTCCACAGTAATTTCTCCTCTTTCACTTCTTATTTTATTTACTTGAGTCTTACCTCTTTTTTCCTTGGTGAGTCTAGCTAAGGGTTTGTCAATTTTGTTTATCTTTTCAAAGAACCAGCTCTTGGTCTCATTAATTGTTTCTATTTTTTTTTTTTTTTAGTCTCTATTTAGTTTATTTCTCCTCTGATTTTTATTATGTCCTTCCTTCTGCTGATTTGGGGCTTTGTTTGTTCTTCTTCTCCCGCTTCCTTTAGATGTGCTGTTAGATTGTTTATTTGGGAGTGTTCTTCTTTGTTGAGGTAGGTCTGAATTGCTATAAACTTCCCCCTTAGAATCACTTTTGCTGTATCCCATAGATTTTGGCATGTTGTATGTTCAATTGTCTCCAGGATTTTTTTTATTTCTCCTTTGATTTCTTCATTGACCCAATCGTTGTTCAGTAGCATTTTGTTTAATCTCCACATTTTTGTGGCATTTCTGATTTTCTTCCTGTAGTTGATTTCTAGTTTCATACCTTTGTTGTCAGAAAAGACACATGGTATTATTTCGACCTTCTTCAATTTAGTGCGACTTGCTTTGTGGACTAATATGTAATCAGTCCTGGAGAATGTTCCATGTGCATTTGAAAAGAATGTGTCTTCTGTGGTTTTTGGATTGAATGTTCTACATATATGTACTTAGTCCATCTGGTCAAATGTGTCATTTAAGGCCAGTGTTTCCTTAATGATCTTCAGTTTGGATGATCTATCCATTGGTGTAAGTGGAGCATTAAAATGCCCTACCGTTATTGTGTTACTGTCCATTTCTCCTTTTATGTCTGTTAATAATCACTTTATATATTTAGGTGCTCCTATGTTGGATGCATAGATATTTACATGTGTTATAACTTCTTGTTGGATTTTTCCCTTTATCATTATGTAGTGCCTGTCTTTGTCTTTTATTACAGTTTTTGTTTAAAGTCTATTTTGTCTGATATAATTATTGCCATCCCTGCTTTCTTTTCTTTTCCATTTGCATGGACTATCTTTTTCCATCCTTTCACTTTCAGTTTGTTAGTGTCTTTAGGTCTGAAGTGTGTCTCTTGTATGAAGCATATATATGTGTCTTGTTTTTTATCCAATTGGCTACTGTATGCCTTTTGATTGGAACACTTAGTCCATTGACATTTAAAGTAGGTATTGATAAATATGTATTTATTGTCATTTGTTACTTTTTTCCTGGTTGTTTTAGTAGTTCTTCTCTGTTCCTTTCTTTTTCTCTTGCTCTTTCCCTTGTGGTTTGATGACTTTCTTTAGTAATATGTTTGATTTCTTTCATCTTACTTATTTTCTTACTTATTATAGGTTTCTGGTTTGTGATTACCATGAGGTTCCTATATAATATCCTATGTATATAGCAGTCTACATTGAGTTGATAGACTCTTTAGCTTGACCTCTTTCTAAAAGGTCTACTTTCTCATACCCCTCCTCCCACATTTTATGTTTTTGAAATCATCTAATCTCTTGTTTTGCATGTGTCTATCCATTACCTTCTTATCATTGAAATAGGTAATTTTAGTACTTTTGCCTTTTAACCTTCAGATTATCTTCATAGGTGGTTGATCTGCTATCTTTACTATATTTTTACGTTTACCAGTGATATTATTGCCTGTTTTTTGGGAGGTCTTTTGATAATTTTTTTATCCCTATTTGTGGTCATTGCTTTCCCACTTAAATAAGTCCCTTCAGAATTTCTTGTAGAACTGGCTTCTGGGTGATAAACTCCTTTAATTTTTGCTTGTCTGGGAAGCTCTTTATCTTTCCTTCCATTCTGAATGACAGCCTTATGGATAGAGTATTCTTGGCTGTAGGTTTCCTCCTTTCAGCACTTTAAATACATCATGCCATTCTCTTCTCACCTGTAGGGTTTTGGCTTAGAAGTCTGGTGATATCCTTATGGACTTTCCTTTGTATGTCACTTGTTGCCTTTCTCTTGCCACTTTTGGGATTCTTTCTTTATCTTTAATTTTGGACATTTCAATTATAATGTGTCTTGGTGTGGAGGTCTTTGGGTTTATCTTGTTTGGAGCTCTCTGTGCTTCATGTACTTGAATGTCTGTCTCCTTCCTTAGTTAGGAAAATTTTCAGCAATTGTTTCTTCAAATAGTTTTTCTGCCCCTTTGTCTTTCTCTTCTCCTTTTGGGACACCTATAATACAAATGTTAGTGTGTTTGATATTGTCCTAGAGTTCCTTTAGACTGTTTTCTTTCTGTCTAATTCTTTTTTCTTTTATCTATTCAGCTTTGGTGATTTCCTCTTTCTTTCGTCTAGCTTACTGATCTATTCTTCTGTATCATCTACTCTGCTATTGAGTCCCTCTAGTTAATTTTTCATTTCCAGTATTGTATTCTTCATTTCTGATTGGTTCTTTTCTATATTTTCCAGTTCTTTTTTGATGAGCTCACTGTGTTCATCCAGTCTTCTCCCAATATCAGTAAGCACCCTTATGAGTTTTTGTTTGAACTCTTTGTCAGGTACATTACTTATTTCTGTTTCATTTAGTTCTTTTTCTGGGATTTTGCCCTGTTCCCTTGCTTGGAATGTATTCCTTTGCCTTCTCATTATGCCTCTTTCTCTGTGCTTATATCTATGCATTAGGTGAGTCGGCTATGTCTTCTGATCTTGGAGAAGTGGCCTTATGTAAAAGATGCCTTTTGATGCCCAGCAGTGACTTCCCTCTTGTCGCCAGTCCAAATGATCCAGGAGTGATCCCTTTGTGAGCTACTTGTGTACTTCTGCTGTGGCAGGGTTGCTCTTAATGCAGGTACCCAATGCAGGAAGGTCTTTCCTTCCCTGGCCAGCTGTTTGTAAATCGGGTTTGGGGATCCTCAGCACCATTGACTACCGGGTCTAACAGCACACTCCTGTTGACGTTTTCCTGTTAATTTGCTAGGGACCCTGTGTAGTTTGTTGCTAGGCTCAGGGGCTTACAGTTGCTATAGGCCTCAGGCCTACAAGGCTGTTGTCAGTTCTCTTAGGAATGCAGCTGAGTGGGGCTGGCCCTAGGCATGGAAGCACTCAATTGTTTCAGGCTTTGGAAGGTGGGGCTGATCCTTTTGATGGCTATTTGTGAAGCACAGGTCTTCTGCAACTGATAACCTCCACCCCCGACAGGTCCACACATACCATCAAGTCAACACAGTCCTGGTCCATGCACACTTCCAAACCCCCTGGATTGTACCCCAATGCCCCACTGCACAGGCCCCCACCTCTGCACCAATGTCCCCCACAGTTCACCTGGTCCTCATACAGTCCCCGCCCCATAGAGGCAGACACACTCGCCTGTCTGTAGAGGATCAAGGCACCCAGTCAATGCAGGCTGACAAGTAGTCCAAGGGCTTGCTGTTTGGTGGGGCCAGTCACTATGGCAGCTGCCCGCCCTTGCTGAACTAGATTAAATCTGCACTCTAGTGAGTCTGGCAGAGCCCTGGACTAACAGGCCAGGGGAAGAACTTCAATGGTGTCTGCCAGGGTCTGTGTCACCATGCCTGGTCTAGGAGACAACAATGGCCCTACCAATGTCTCAGTCTCCAGAGAGGTCTCTCCTCTCACCAAGATGCACCCAGAGCCTACCAGGTGAGTCTCTTTTCACCAAAGGACTGTCAGCCTTCTTTCTGGTGATTTTAGGTTGATGTCTGAGACAGGTGAGTTTGTCCATGGGCCCTTTAAGACCCAGGTTTTTTTTGGCTTTCGTCAGATAGCTTTTCTGAGGGTATTCCCTGCTGCAGATAATAGCCAGCAAAGCCAGATAGTAAGACCCTCGTCTCATTTATGCTGAGTCTGAAGGATGCTTATAACAGTATTGCCCCCACTCTGGACCTCACTCCTCCAGGGAGGGCTGCATACCTTAGGGTGGCTCCCACCTGGCCAGCTGAGAAACTCCATTGCTCCTGAACGTGGCTTTTTTTCTCTCCAGAAGGAATTTCTCCCTCTTCTGCCTTAGTCAGGACTGTCCCTTTTTGTGAGGGTTCTTTTTATTCAGTTTTCAGTTTTCTATCCAGGGTAATTTTTCCAAAAATAGTTGTAACCTGGTTGTGTTTGTGGGAGGAGATGAGTTCAGAGTCTGCCTATGCCTCCATCTTGACGAGATCCCCCAGAAATTTCCTAAGATAAAGATAATGTTGTAGTATATTTTGGGGCTCCACAAACTATTGGGAGAGCAACGCATTTCGTGACTCTCTAGTGTTGTGCCTTTCTCCTTAATACAGAACAAAAAACTCACAGTATATATGTCCTAGGAAGCAATATAACTCCAGTAGTTGTTTTAACAAAAAGCTACTGAAATTCTATGTACAAAACCATATCAATAACATATAAGAAATGACTTTTCTCTGACTGCTGTGTCCAGCTCTTTTAACAGCCATATTCTTGTTGCTGGAAGGGTCTTGTGCTGAGAAACAAGAAGCAAGCAGTGAGCTGACCTTCCACAAGGTGGCCTTTATTGCTGCAAAATTGCTGCACTAATCTCCTTCTTCTCTTAAATCATTATGGCAGGCAACTGTGGAACCAAAACAGAATAAAAATGCTTTCATTATGAAACTATAATATAGGCAGAAATTCATCATAACATCTTTTAAAGAAAAACAGATAAATGTTTGTTTTGTGGGTGCTATTTTCTTGTTTCATAAAAAGAAAATAATTCTTTATAAATTCAAATACCCTATCTGTAGCTCTGCCTCCCTTAATGAACACTCCATACTAATTTACAGGACCTATGTAGTTCAAAATACGTACAACAGACAGATGACTCACATTATGATCTCATTAAAGAAAAGGCAGGATTTATCTGTGATTATGCTAGCCTCCAAAAGGTGAATTTTTCATTCCCTTGTTTTGAGCATTGCAATGGTTTTCCATTATCTATGTCGCCCCCTTCTGTTGTGTACGGAAGTGATCTCCTCATTTTTGGACTGTCCCTGGTGGATGTTTTTGGCACACTGAAGGAATGGTTTTCTGGAATCTGTGTTGAGCACCACAGTTTCCTTAATGCTGGAAGACATCCGAGTCTCACATCTGTTACTCATTCACACCACTGAACCAGAAGCTGAGTCAGAATAGGATTAGAAAAACCAGGTTGCTAAGCCTTATTTTACTTTTCTTTTCTCCTCACCTCTTCCATCTTCCCAATAAGCAGATTTTCAATGACCAAATGATGGAAAATTTATTAGCAGTAACCACTACGGAGATTATGTTTGCCAAATATTTTCTCTAATCTTTAAAATAGCACTGCCTTTCTACTTTTTTAACTTTGTTTTTTAAAATAAACTATTTTATAACAGTTTTGGATTTACAGAAAAATTATGAAATTAGTATAGAGAACTTCATTATACTCCACACCGAGTTTCCACTTTTATTAGCATCTTACATTAGTATAGTATATTTGTTACCATTAATAAACCAACATTGATAAGTTATTTTAGCTAAAGTCCATACTTTATTCAAATTTCCTTAGTTTTTGCCTAAGGTTGTTTTCTTCCCAGGATGCCACCATGATTCCACATTCTATCAAGCACTCATGCCTTCTTAGCCTCTTCTTGACTGTGATTTTCTCATTTTTCCTTGTTTTGTGATTACCTTAACAGTTTTGAGGAGTACAGGTCAGGCACTATATGGAATGTTCCTCGGAACTGGGATTTGCGTGATGCATTCCTCATGGTCAGACTGGGGTTATTTTTGTGAGGAGGACCTCAGCGGTAAAGGACGTTATGTCAAGAGTACATACCATCAATATTCAACACGACTGTCACTACTGGCTAACCTCGATCCTCCCTCTGAAGCAGCGTCTGTTAGGTCTCTCCACTGTAATTTTACTCATCTCCCCCTTCCCACACTGCACTTTTAAGAAACAAGCCACTGTACACAACCCACATTTAAAAAATGGGAGTTACATTATACCTCCTCAAAAGAGGAATACCTAGATAAATGGAATTCTTCTGCATGACATATTTTTCAATTCTCTCCCATTTATTTAATTATGTAGTATTTATATCAGCATGGGCTCATGAATATGTTCTTTACACTTTGGAATATAATTCAATACAACTTTATTCATTTTCTTGTTAACATTGTTCCAGCTCTAGTCATTGGAGGCTTTCTCGGTTGTGGCCCTTTGACACATCCCATTATTCTTTGTTTTTCTTTGTTTTTTCTTTTTTAGCACTTCCTCACATTCTCAAAATACCAGGTGCTCCCGTCTTATGGTATATATTTCCTGCTCCAGCCCTAGAATCAGCCATTTATTCAAGGAACCCTGGTTCCTTTTATTGGAGAATGATAACAGAAAACAAGAAAAGGATGCTACTAGGGAGTCATTGCCTCTAGATCCTCACAGCTGAGGACATATTTGTTTGTATACTAACCGGTGTACACACACATTTCTGTAAATATTTCTATCTGTAACTATCTATCTATTGTAAGCCAACTATGAATTCATACTGATATCTTCAACTCTAATCCATTACCATGTAAATCAATCTAGCCTCTCCCTTTAGCATATCTGTAACCAAGAGTGAAAAGCTGGACTCCCACCATCTGTCATCCATTACCTTGACTGCATAATTACAGCATGTGCAAACAGTGGTTATCAGAATTGTTAACCAATACCAACACGAGAATAGCAGACCATGTAGATTTTTTTGAACTGGTTTCTTTCACTTAGCAACGTGCGTTTAAGTTTCATCCATGTTTTCTGTGCCTTGATACTTTATTTCTTTTTATCACTGAATAATATTCCATTTCATGGATTTACCACAGTTTGTTTATCCATTCACCTCTTGAAGAATATCTTAGTTGCTTCTGGTTTTTGATGACTGTAAATAAAAGTGCTGCAAATATTTGTGTGCAGATGTTTCAATAGATATAATTGTTCAAATTAATTGGGTCACTATGAGTGCAATTGTTGGATCCTAAGGTAAGACTATGCTTAGCATTATAAGAAATTTCCAAACTGTCTTCCAAAGTGGATATGTCATTTTGCGTGCCCACCAACAATGAATGAAAGTTCCTGTTGCTCCACATGCTCACCAGTAATTGATATTGTCGGGTTTTTAGATTTTAACCATTCTAGCAGATGTGGAGTGGTATTTCATTGTTGTTTTAATTTGCAATTCCATAATGACAAATGATGTGGAGTATCTTCTTTTGTTTCTTTGCCATCTGTATATTCTCTTTGGTGAGGTGATTATTCAGGTATTTTACCCGTTGTTTGGTTAGATTGTTTATTTTCTGATTGTTGAGTTTTAAGAGTTCTTTCTTAATGTTTTGCATATAAATCCCTTCTCAGATATACATTTTGCAAATATTTTCTTCTAGTCTGTGGCTTGTCTTTTCTTTCTTTTAACAATGTCCTTTGCAGGCCAGAAGTTTTTTATTTTAATGATGGCCAACTAACCAATTCTTTTCTTTCATGGATCGTGATTTAGATGTTGCATCTAAAAACTCATCAATAACCCTTACATCACATAGATTTTCTTCTCAAAATTTTATAGTTTTACATATTGCATTGTGGTCTATGACCCACTTTTTAGTTTGTTTTTGTGAAAAGTATAAGTTCTGTGTCTAGATTCATCTTTTTACATATGGACATACAATTGTTCAAATAATATTTGTTGAAAAGCCTCTTATTTCTTCATTGAATTGCCTTGGCTCTCTTGTGAAATATCAGTAGACTGCATTTGTGTGAATTTATGGGCTCTCTATCCTAGCCCATTGATCTATGCATCTATATTTTTACCAATACTATGTTGTCGTGTTTACTGTAGCTTTATAGTAAGTTTTGAAATTGAATAGTGTGAGTCCTCCAACTTTGCTTCATTCTTCAGTATTGTATTGGCTTTTCTGAGTCTTTTGCCTTTTTACATAAACTTTAAAATTAGTTCATTGATATCCACAAAGTAACTTGCTGGGATTTCGACTGGGATTGCATTGATTCTACAGATCAAATTGGGAAGAACTGACTTCTTAATAATACTGAGTGTTCCAATCCATGAACACAGAATATCTCTCCATTTGTTCAGATCTCCTTTGATTTATTTCATCAAAATTTCATAGTTTTCTGCATATACATGTGGAATACACTTTATTAGATTTATACCTAAGTATTTCATTTTTGGTGCTATTGTAAATGGGTATATAAATATATATCATTTTAAGTTATCAAATCCAATTGTTTATTGCTGTTAAATAGTAAAACAATGGACTGTGTGTATTAATTTTGTATTCTGCAACCTTGATATACTTGCTTATTATTTCCAGGAGTTTTGTATTTTTTAAATTTATTCTTATTTGTTTTATTTAATATTTATTATTTATTTAATGTTTTATTTATTTATTTTACTTATTCTTTTAATTTATTTTTTAATTTATTCTTTCAATTTTCTATATAGACAACCATGTCATCTATAAATAGAGTTTTATTTCTAATCTGTATGCATTGTGTTTCCCTTTGTTTTTAATGAAGCACCTGAGACTTCCAGTATAATGCTGAATAGAGTGGTAAGAGAGGACATCCTTGCCTTGTTCCCAGTCTTGGGGAGAAGGTGTTCAGTTCCTTATGAGTTAGCATGATATTAGCTGTAGGAATTTTGTAGATTTACTTTATTAAGTTGAGGAGATTATCAATAGTTCTGACTTTGCTGGGAGGTTTTATCATGATTGGGTGTTAGGTTTGTCATTGGTTTTCCTGCATCAATTGATATGTCATTTTTTTCTTCTCTATTTTGTTGATATGGTGGATTATATAAATATTTTTTAGTAGACTTTACTTTTTAGAGAAGTTTTAGGTTCACAGCAAAATTGAGAGGAAGGTACAGAGAGTTCCCATATACCCCACACATGCATAGCCTCCCCACTATCGACATGCTGCAACAGGGCGGTATGTTTGTTACAATTGATGAACCTAAATTGATACATCATTATCACCCAAAGTCCATAGTTTACATCAGGATTTACTCTTGGTGTTGTATAGTCCATGGATTTTAATAAATGTATACTGACACGTGTGTGCCAATACAGTATCATATAGAATAGTTTCACTGACCTAAAAATCCTCTGTACTCTCTCTATTCATCTCTGCCTTCCCCCAACCTCCGGCAACCACTGATCCTTTTTCTGTCTCCATAGTTTTGCCTTTTCCAGAAAGTCATATAGTTGGAATCATACAGAATGTAGTCTTTTCAGATTTGTTTCCTTCAGTTGGTAATATGCATTTAAGTTTCCTCCATGTCTTTTCACAGCTTGATAACTCATTTCTTTTTCGTGCTGAATAATATTCCATTGTCTGGATGTATCACAGTTTATTTATCCACTCTCCTACTGAAGGACATCCTGGTTGCTTCCAAGTTTTGGCAATCATGAACAAAGCTGCTATAAACATTCTCGTGAAGTTTTTTGTGTGGACATAAGTTTTCAACTCCTTTGGGTAAATACAAAGGAGTGCGATTGCTGGATCTTATGGTAAGAATATGTTTAGTTTTATAAAAATCTTCCAGACTGTCTTCC